TATTTACAATTACAAAAATCTAATAAATAAACTAAATTTGATTATCACTTTTAAAGTTATCATATAAAATAATTTTATTTAACAATTTCCATTTTTATTGTTAAAAAAATAATCTTTTTAAGGTATTTCCCAGGCAATAAAAACAGCCCAAGGGTTACATACTAATAAAATATGTAATAGTAGATATTTATACTTATTTGCATAGTTTGCTTTGTAGGAACATCCTTATGATCTTCCTGCTCCCATGTTATTTAGCAATTTCGTACATGAGAGCCAATTTTGAAATTGCTTGCAATAAATCCATTCGCATATGCCCTGTGCAAATTATCATTGCGGCTCACGCAAAGACCAACCAACCCCCACACGGACTTCCATAAAACAAATTGCTGCTGGATCCGGGTTTAAACAGGCATTAATCCTTTAGCACGCGGAACATTATAATAATAAACATACACACGGACGGACGAAGTGAGAGACGAAAAGAGCTAAAATCCTTGACCGTTTGACACCGGGCGCAGCAGGTGAACGTTTACAATCTCTCTGATGGGGAGGTGCTGCGAAATTCCATCGGGCACGGCAATTATTCGCGCGCAGCGATTTCGTAATTAAATGCGATGATCGCGCCCGTCCGCATGATAAATCATTACTCTATTACATATTATATGGTCCCTTTGTGAAAATCATCGACTCATTATAAATGTATAGGTGCTGATGGACCTTGAAGATCATCGGAGCCAAGGTTGCATTCCTTTTCCTTCTTCTTTGCGCTTTTGTTCCTCTCCACGCGAATTAAAAGCAGTGCGCGATGTAATTACTTTTTTGCAAAGATGATAAGGATACTGGCCGCTTATATGACGAGTTAATAGAGCGTTGCGTTTCCTCTTATCCTACTTGTGCGCGAAAGAAAAAGGCGACGTCCGCCGTCAAATTCGCGCGTGCAGCCGTGGATGAAAATCAAACTTACTCTCTCTCCGCTTTTAAATTATGTATCACTGCTAAAATGTGCGATATTTATGGCTTATCATTAATGAAAGTGGAGTATACCAGTCGCCGTGTAATTAAAGCATTTGATTATTTGAAAAGCACCAAAATCTACTTTTTGCTTAGCTAGTCATATAGATAAAGATTGGAAATTAACAGCATTTTTTTACTAGACTAGTTTTTTACTAGCTGCAAAGTGAAATTTCAATTATAAGTAATTGTTTTAATTTTTCTTTACAAACAACCATAATTTTCCAAAAATAATTGTATTAGCGCAATAAAACGTGCAGTGTAATTTAATTTTGTCTATTCCTCCCTGCACAATCCAATAACAAGAAAAATTTAATCAATCAATGAGTTTATTAATGTCAATCGACGGGGCAAAAGAAAATTTAGATGACAGTAAAAATTCCGGAGATAGAAGATCCAAACATCACTTTCACTTGCGAAAATCTTTAAATGCGGCATTTAAAATAATTGTTATTAATCAATAAACCTTCTTGCTGTCTGCCCGGCAGATGTTGTCGTAATCACACGCGGATCAATAAAAGAAACTCTCCACGTCTCACCGGCCCGGCAATCAAGAAAACATGCACACTCTCAAAACTTTTGATTTCACTATTATCGCTCGTAGCTAAAACAAAAGTGGCCGTTTTAGAAATACAACAATTATAAAAAAGGCGTGCATGAAAAATTTCCCTGTCAAACAAACAAACGATCTCAGCTCATCCTTTTCTCCTCTTCACAATTTCACTTTCCAAACTGGCCGCCACTTCTGAAAAGTCGAGATTCATCATCGCAAAGGTTAGGAGAGAAGTACACAATATTTCATGAGCTGACTCGCGTAATTGGAGTCAAGGGGTCACAGACACTTGTTCGCGCACATATAATATGAAATAAGAGAAATATAAATATTTGCATATCACGCATGCATCAGTAAAAGCGGAGAGAATCGCTTTCTTTTGATGCGGTGTGTAAATCATTCACGAGTTATGACCTTATGCATGGTACCATAAATTTACATGATGAAGAAGTCTTCAAATATTGTATTCTTGATTATAAATGAAAAATTGGAAATTTAGATTTAAAGTTTAAAGTACTTTTAAATAGCTTTGAACTTTTATTTAATTTAATGTTGAAATGGATATTTGCAGAATCTAACCTTATTTTATTTATTTACTTAAAATTTAATTATTTATTTGTTTATTTATTTATTTATTCTTCATTGAAATACAGTCAATACAATAAATAAATTATTGAAACGCTCAAATTTTTGAAAAAAAAAACATTGTTATAAATTTTTGATGTTGATAATTGATTTTACAATAATCAGTGTTGAAATTTTGTCAGAGGGGAAAAATATTTTAGTGTGGTTTTATTGTGAAAATTATATCATTCCCAATTAAAAATCAGAAAGATCTATCTTGTCTAAAAATTATAAAATGACACAGAATACATGCAAAATCAATTTAATGCTTTTATTATTTTGCCCCTGTAAAAAAAATTGAGGAATAAACGTTAAAAAAATCTGTTTCCATACATTAACCCTGAGAGGCGAGTAGATTCAATCAAGTCTGTTCTCAACTCCTCAAAGTCGAAGACTCTCTGTTTAATTAGAACGGTGTGTGGAGTGTGTGTTTTATTTATCTGGAACATCGAGTCTCTTCTCGCGAGCCAATTATTCCATGAAACAAGATCGGCCGGTTGCGCTGCAGCGAAATGGAATACTTTGTGTGTATGTTGCTTATCGCGCGGGCATGGAAAGGGAAATGAGCGCTTCGTCGCTTGTCGTGTTTTATGTATATGCGGCGGCTATACCTGTAGCGTAAATTGCGCTCCGAGTTATACACCTGACATGCCTCATTGCTTTTATGACGCTGCTGCACCTTCTCGTAAAGTGACGCTCGTATAATTTTATTTGACACGAGACGCAGCCGCCACATTTTATTTTGCGCCCACCAGTGCAGGCAGGTCTCATAATTCGCGACTTACGGGACCGGCGTGATTACAAGAGATAATGACGTGTCGTTCCTGTGTTTTTTCCGCTGTTAAGAAACAACGGCGCATCCAGCTTGCATGCAAGCGGCCTTCTGCTCTTTTTTTTTAATTAACAGCAAAAATTTCTCTGGAATTCTGCGCAACCTCATCTACGAGCAGTTTTTATCCTTTTGCGAAAGAAGAAATATTTTTGCAGAATCCTTTGCATTCTTTTATAATTGTTTTTATTTGTTCATCTCTGTTCAACATTACACAAGGAATGGAAGAAAATTTTTTCATCGTCACCTTAAATCATCAACTAAATCATCGTCATTCCCTAAAATTCACAAAATTATCAAAATTCTTCAGTAAATATTTAAAATATTTTACCTTGAATTGAGTTTTTTTTTTTAAATTTTAAATCATTCTTGAGCTAAATATGCTTGGCTACAAAATTTTAATTTTGCTTAAACCTTTTGAGTTGTACCTTAAAATTCAAAATTATTTTAACTGAATTGTTAAATTAATGGATTTTTTTAACTCATTGTCCTTTTTGCTCTTTATATTGTGAGCCCATAGTAGTTGAGCCACGCATTTCATCATCACTCTTCCTCTTTCCCTCACTTCAGAACAAGAGCAGAACACAATATAACGCGCAGAGAAAGAGAACATTATGGAACTGCTAATTTGAATGCACCATTGTCCGGCGATGGGAAGATAAGCGGGAGAGAGAAAGAAAAACGGCGCGATTGCCGCGCACAAAAGGAACACCTAGATCGTGTTTTACCAGCAGAAGCATCCCGTACGTTCATTGTGCGTGCAGTGTTTTATTGTTTCTAAATTAAAACACAATGCCGAAACACTCGCGACCTGCAGCCAACATCGCCCCAGCCATTGTTCCGAAAAAAAAAATACTTCTATTCTAATCCGCACCATCACACAAAGTGAGAGAGGAAAACATATTAAATGAAACTTAAAAAAGACCAAAATTTTGGCGAGATAATAAAAAAAATCGTAAAGCTGAAAAATTGCTGGCATTTGCCAAAAAAGTAATAAATTATTCGAATTATAATTAGTTATTATACTTATTATTGTTGTTTATGTGTCCAAATTGTTATATCACATTGTTTAAAAATATTTTTTATTTTTAAAGAAAAGGAATCGTTGTACAAATCGGCACCACCACTAGAAATAATTTTGCTAAAACTTTTGAGATAAAAAAGATCCCATCCACTACAGTGAGCCTAAAAGTTAGTTAAGAATTTTGACCAACTTTTTTACATGTTAATTAATACTAATTTTAATATTTCTTTTTCACAAAACTGAATTTTCCAATTCTACGCAAAAGCGAAACTGTTGTTTAAACTTCTGTGAAAAATAAAATAATTAGCATCATCATCATGTTAACATAAATAATATTTCCGGCGCACCCTCTAATTTACCGTTGTGTACAATTTTTCGCAATTCTGCGTTATTATGCAAATACCAACACGGGCTCATAATGAATTTTTAGGTTTCCAGCGGTGACGACGGCACATTTATTCGTGTGTGTTGGGATAACAGTATTGCAGAAGGCCCGTTGAGAGGTGTGTGCACGCGTTCAGAGTGCACGGCTGTGACTTTGTGTGTTGATTGTGAGTCATTTTGGGATGGAGAATGTGCTCCTTTCAGAGGTTTCGCGCCTCAATCCGCCTCTCCCGTCATTATCATAATCGCAATGACGACACACTTGACAGAGAAGCGAGAATGCAACACAAACATCTGAAGCCTCACAAGACCCTTTAAAAACAACGACCGGCGTCTGCGGTCGACCTTTCTGCTCCGCTTGTTGACTTTGGGGGTCTTTCGGGCGAAAATTCCTCTGCAAGATGAATGAGAACTAAAACGAATTGTTTTCTCTGCACTTTAAAAACATCAGCCTTGTGCCAATTTAATATTTATTTATTTATTCATACTCCAGGAAAACACACAAATTAAATTATTATTTTTCCTTTCTTTTAATATTTTATATTTGACTAAAAATTATTTATCATTTGTTTTAGATTGGAGATTGACCTTCCCAGGAATGAGCATTTCTAATTAAGCTTCGTGGAGATTTTAGGTAAGTCAAATTTACTTGTGCACTTTGTAAAAATCTGCGAAATATCTCAACACAACATTCTGGTGATAAAATGCCAAGGTTAGAAGTTAAATTCCATTAAAACAAGCGGAAATCGGAAATCAATGTGTGGAGGTCACAATGTAAAATAATTAATGATGAAGATTTTTCGCGCCGGGATGAAAACCATAAACATAAAATTTTATATTTTTCATTATCTCATAAAATTCGTAAAAGCCTTGGAGACTCTTTACTGTTAAAAACAGTGCGTTAGGTTTTTTTCAGCGAAATTAATTGCACGTGAATTCTGTTCTTTTGCTGCTCGTTTGGCTGGCGTTGGAATTCACACAGATATTAATCAGACGCTTCCAATTAAAGATAGTTTTTCGCCCGATTTAATTACCGGCCTGAGATTTTCTCATCGTCTCTCTCCTTCACCGGTATGCGCCAGATGTGGCGCGCATTTTCTAGCCGCCGTTATATTATTGTGTGTCGGATTCTTTTTTTTTCTTCCTATTCGCTGAGCAAGCGATCGATTATGCCACACATTTCATTTGCTCGAATGGCTTTTGCACCGGCAATTAAAACAGGCACTGTTATTACCCATCAGCCGACAGAAAGAAAGAACGCACACGGCCGTGAAGGAAAAACGCTTGTTCTCGCTAAGCTGCGAATTTCGATATTGGCGTGCAGAATAAAATTATAACAGCGCCGCTAGCTTCTTGTGTGTTCAAAATTGTGGCAAGGCATCGTTTTCCGATTCTACAAAAGGCGCAGCAGGGCACGACGTTGAATTCAGCCAGTTATCTTGGGCCAAACGAGCGAAATATACAAAAGAGAGGCACAAAGGAGGAGGCGAAGAAGTGTTGCCAAAAATAATTAGCTTGTTATCGCTCAAAGGAGGAACCAATTTCGCATTCAGATTTCAAGCGTATGAAATATGATGAAAATTTTTCTAACTTTTTTCCATTTATGAAGTAAGCAAGCTCATATACTCTTCAAACTGATGTAGAAAAATAAAACTTTTAGATTTATGAGAAAACAAAATTCTATATTCGCAACCAAAATACCCTACCTTTAGCAAAGCTTAAAATGTGAAATATCTCTAAAATTTAAAAAAAAAAAAAAACTTTAAGAAGACTAAATAAATAATTACTGAAAATTCATGTGATTCTAACAATAAATTATCTAAAAGAGATTAAATCCTTGTTAATTGCTATTTTAATTGCAAATAATAAATACTTCTGACGTTTCCCGCACATTTTTTTTTCAATCATTTGAAATTTTGTGTTTTCGATTATGTTTTCATTAAAAAAGTGACTGCTGAAGGCCATCACCATCAGATATCACCTCATTTTTTTCCGAGCTCAAAACCAATGAGAAGACGCCTTCGCTTTTCGCTTTTCGAACATAAATAACATAATTGCTTTGGAAAGCATGCACACGTGAACGACTTGCGGTTTTGTTCGCATTGTGTTTTGCGTAGAGTGGACATGCACGAGATGGATACGCTCGCCCGCCGGTGGCCATGCATGCGATCTCAGGCGGTCCACGTTGATATAATACGATCCTTTGTTGTTATTATTTTTTTAGACGCGGCCTGTAAGGCAGATTGAATGCAGGGAGGCAAGATTGCATGTAAATGAAGTTTGATGGCACGTTCAGATTTTTTTAACTCCTTAACTTGCTACATTTCTTTCAAATGGAAATAAATAGTGAAAAAAGCCGGAAATCTTCCACAATCGTTTCCCTTTTGAAAAAAGTGATTTGAATGAACCATTTTAACAAGTGGGAAATAAAATGGAGAAATTCTGTGAAAAGAGCTCTTCCTTTCCAATCGTAAAATTGTTAGGCTGCGATCGAACCATATAACAATAATCGTTATTATTATACGATTATTGACTTTTCCTATTAAACTGCGCTCACGAGCGGGCAGATGAAATTTCACTGGTGGAGCAACTCGGTGTGTTGTGGTAGGATGCTGAATAATTACAGTGTCTGTTTGGCCGTACGGAGAGAGAGAGAGAGAGATACATACACAAAGCAATAATCAGTCGCTATGGCATGTGATAATAAGAGACATTACATACACAGGCAAGCGGCGATATAAGTGTGGGAACCACATGGCTGCCAGAGTAACCAGGTCAGCCGTCCGAGAGAGAGAGAGAGAAAGAAGCTAGACGCATTTCTCTTTGCAACAATAGCAGCGAGCAGTGCATCGCGTCAAGTCGGCTTTGGATTCGAGTTTCGTCACCGTCTGCTGCTGAAGCTGCGACAAACTAGCTGACTAATTCACCGTGCCTCGCTATTATGATCATATAGGTGCATGAGTAATTCGCGGAAAGTGGGAAATTCTTTGTCATTTATTCGTGCCGTGCTAAAAAGTAGGATAGGATTAGAGGAAGAACCGCAATGAAATACATCTTTAGAAAAATAAAATATTAAATTATTAAAAAAAAAAAGGTTAAAAAGCAAATCTTTTAAAATTTAATTTAATATTTATGAAAATGCACTTCAACCAAGAAGTTTAAAATAATAAATTTATAATTCTTGATTTGAACACCAATCCCTAACTTATTTTTAAGTGATGGATATAAATTTGAGATATTTTTCCATAATGCACCATTAAATCCAAATTAGGAAATAAAGTTGAAATTTCTGACTCAGGTCTCGTAAATTACAGGATTGTCTAGTTCTATGAACTAAATTTCTTTTGAATTTCTTTGAATATCATTTTTGCTTATAATGTTATAATTGAAATTCAAGGAAAGGATGGGTTGCTAATGTAATGAGCAAGCTGACCTATTCTATATAAGGTGTTTGCTGCACTAATAGTCAGCAACTTAATTTAACAAGCAAACAAATTTTGAAACTCGTTGGCCCCAAATCATTCGAGGAGAGTGACTTTTTATGACAGAAGAAGAAAAGCTAATCCTTTCAAAAAATATTTTCCTCTCAGCCGGTCCAGAATTAATGCTCTACCATTAATTTTGCACTTCCTAATTAAGCTTGTAAACAAACCTCGAGGTTTGTGACCTCTCTCTTTCTTTCATAGAGATCAGTTTGAAAGCCATCGTGGCCACTTTTCCCCCAAATATGGCAAACACCTGTTTCTCTTTCGCTACTTTCCAGGGTATTGTTTCGCGTCCCTTTCGAAAAATAAAACACATCTCTCTGGTCGTCCTCTATTTTTGTACACTGTTGTTGTTGTTGTGCGCGCACTTTTCTATTATTGACGCGCGTAAAGTCACGATCAGTTGTTGGCAGGTCACAAGGAGCATCTCTTGAGAACCGATTCATTATTTGCGACACACACTACTGCGTGCACGGCTCATCTTGCCGGCCTCAGGCCCTTTATTGAGCGTATCATCGCTGCTTTCTCTCCCCGTGTGTGCATAAACAATTTTTCCTCTTTTCGCCGCCGTACAAAACGGTCAAGTCATGCTTATTTTCACTGGTGTATGTTTGCTTGTAAAACAACATGTCCCAATTTGTCCTCCTCTTTAGAGTGCTTTTCTCCTTTCATCCGAAAAAAAGAATCAATGGAATTTTCTTTCGCTCCTTTCGTTGCAACAATGGTTTTATTGCCCTCTCGCTCGATTCCGCAGCCCGCAGGACAAAAAAAAGAGAAAGGTGTGGGTGGTTTGGCCGACGCGGCTGCTGCGCCGCGAATATTAATTCGAAAAGAGCGTTTATTCAAATCAAGCCGAGAGGAAGCGAGCGAGTGTACAAACAACCGCGGCTGGCAACTTTTACGACGGAGTGCTCTAATGAATAATTAATGAACCTTTTTTTTCAACGTAAATCCTCTCCTGAGAGGAAAAAAGCACGTTGTTAGAGTGGAAATCGAAAGTGCGAAGTTTAATGACTGCAATAAAAGAGATAAAAATTCCTTTTTAAATTTTCTCGGGCAATGAGGAAGCTCGGATTTTACTGTTCGTCAATCGCTCGCTTCACGGTTCAAAGGCTGTGGGATTTTGGAATTGAGGCAAAAAATCGCCGATAAAGCACAGCAGCCACCTTTGGGACAAAAGAACCAAACTGTCGCGCAGCCGGCCTTTGTTCGATCGCGCTAAAAACGGGATGGAGAGGTTCGCAGCTGGTGGTGTGCAGCTCCGATTGTGCAATTCCGCTGATTGGCGAAGCCGCTAATTGTTCTGCCAAACAAGAGCCGACTGAGAGAGAATACAAATATCTGCGTGCTTGAGCAACTGTTACTCAACTGAAAACCGAGGGACAAACCACTTGGCAGGATGCTAATGGCCTCTTAATTTGCCTAAGTGTCCAAGTTAAAAAGTGCGTAGAATCGAAGGCCCCTCTCACAAATTTTCAGAGCGAGGAGAGAGCAAGAGGAAGTGAATTCGGAGCCTTGTGTATTGTTAATAGGCGATTGAACGTAAAACATTATATATTTTTTTTTAAAAGCCTGAAAGAGGTTTTTATGATACCGGCCAATTACTTTATGCGCCAATTCACATGGATTGTTGCAAAATTCAATGGCACGTGCTGGCGTTCATTTTTCAACATTCAGCGCATAACTTTTAATCACGCTGTAACAAAACGCAAATTCAGTTGACTGCACACAAATAATATAGCTAAGTAACAAAATTTTAATCCTGAATTATAAATTTTGTCCAACTGGCTAATAGTGCGGTTAACTTTATATTTCCTTAATGTCAATATTACTCAAAATAAAAAATTTGCTCAAGACCTACAATACCACAAATTAATTATTCCCATAATAATTTTCTAAATTTGAATATTTAATAATTTTTTATATAAAATTTTATATTATTTAAATTTAAAAAAAAGTTTATTGAATTTTGGAGATTTAAAACACAATAAATTATAAAATATTAAAAATTTTCATTCTTAATATTTATAACTATTCGCTGCATGATAAAGAAGTAATAAAATAAATACGATTTCTACAGGTTTATAATTATCGAAAGTTCTAACAAAAACTCAAATTGTGCTTCTAATCTACCTTGTAATTATTTTTAATTGTACTGGGCTAAATATTATCCTGAAAGTTGATAGTTATAAAATATGCAAATAATTTTATTTATACCAGAAATATCCCAGTTACTGCTTAATTTATTTGATAGAAAAACTTATTATAAAAACTTTAAAAAAATTAATGATACATTTTTAATGCCAATAATAACAATTAAATTTTTTTTGTGAAGTAAAAAAGAGACGATTGTATGTTAATTTATATTTAAAATCAGCAGACCTTGAAATTTGCAAGTTTTTCGCAAGAGTATAGAACCGCAGGGCGCCACATGAAAAACAAGTGCGCACCCGTACACAACTGCACAGAGGCGGCGAAGGAAAAAGTCGTCGCGTCGGTGGACAAAACAAAGCACTCAGCGACCGCTAATCATATTAGAGGAGCAGTGAGAGTGTTCGGCGTGACACGGAGGAAGTGCGCACCAAAGGAGTCTCTCTTTATAATGGGAGATAAGCGCCTATTGCTCTTGGCCAGCGAAAGAAATCTTCGGCTCGTCATAATAATATCAGAAAACGCTCCTCTTCCTGATGCTGCACGTTCAACGTGATCCATTATTATTTGAAAAACAAAAAGCTGCAACGGCGGTGACTTCTCTCATTCACAGCGAGTGACCAGCCTGCTCGAACGGGGAGGCCTTTTGAAAGGAGAGAAAACAACCGGGAAAAGTTTTTAATTCCGTTTTGATTGTCTAATTAAACGAATTGGGCCAAAGTTGTAAACCTGGAAAGGAGTTGCATTCAAATTTAGAATTAGGAGAGCAGCTTAATTAACAAAGGTGATTTGCATCAGAGTGGCTGCGTAAATAGACCGCGCCGCCGCTTTATTATATTACGAGAGTGCGAACGAATACTTCTTATAACAAGGAGACTAACTGGCACTGCAATAAAGCAACACACAATATAATATTGAAATTACGATCCTTGAGTGCGGAGCTCAGAGATGAGGATAATAAAGTTTTATGCTCATTACGATAATCATGAATGAGTGCACTGCAAATGAAAGAAAGCAGCGATCGTAATGAGTAATGACTTTTCATGCTGTCATACTCACCCTACTTTTCAAATGCAATTATTCATTTACACACGGTGTTTTTATTATTTGTTATAACATGGTACGGATACTACGGATATAGAAAGAGTAACTCTAAAAATAAATCAAACTACTGGCTTGAAAAAGATGGAAAATTTTATTTTTAAATAGTAAATGGAGCTAAATAAGATTATTTTTGTCTTGGATGTAAAAGAATTTCATTGTTAAAATTTCATAACTGTACAATGTACATAAGGGATGAGAAAATTAAGTGATCCGCTAATTTGTTGGAAATAAACTTAATTAATATTAAAAGACCAATTATCTAATTTTTATGTCAAAAGTCAACTATTTAGAATCGCCAAGAATTACCTATTTGAAAAAAAATAAGCCATTTAATTTTTCACAAAAATTTTCTATTTAAAAAATTTAAATATATTTTAAGTAAAAAAAAAATACTGTATATTTATCAATTTCCACTTCTATTTTGCTTTATTTGCCTAAAATCACATAATGAAAATTGAAATATAATTAAATAAAAAAAAATCACAAATTTTTGATTCTGAAATTAAATTTATACTTAATTCAAAACGTGGACACTTCCCATGATTTTCACGTGCCATGATGGAATTGCTAAGTGGCTAAAAATTTCAGCGTCCCCTAGTGGTCCTTCGTAATCAAAATGCAGGATCGATACTGCAGCATGAAGTGTTGACGCGCTGTGTATAATATCTAACGACGGGCGCGCGAGTCATTAATTAAAGAGCTAATTATCGGCGGGGCAGATCAGTTCTGTTAGTGGCCTGTTTGCTCGTCGGTGCTGCTCCGACCTAACTGCGCGCTGCACAGGCCGAAATGAAAATTCATTGCGCTGCAAATTAAAACCGCACACATTGTTGAGCAGCGTACCCATATTATATCCGTAAATAAAGTGCACGCCAGAGACTGTTTATGTCGGTTGCATATGGATCTGGTGCAGCTCGTGGGGAACAATGGGCGATGAAAAAATTCACGCCTCGCAGCTCAGAGGCGCGCGCGCGGGTGCAAAGAACCAGCAGCACTCTTTGACAATGGCAATTAAACAAAGCATTTTAGACGCAAAATTTTGTTTTAGGAAGTTAACGGGATCAGTTTTCTTTCTCGTCCCGCTGCCTGATGCTTATTAAAACGCGATTCTTATCGGATTTGCTCGAGTATGGCGCGCGCTTTCTTGCTTTCTGACGAACTCGCAGAGAAGTCCAAAGAGAGGAGGATTGAAAGGTGCTCTATCTTTGGTGATGACAGGGACCATTTACGGGAGGGAGCCAAAGACACCTTCTACCCTTCTGGGATTTTTTTTATAAAACTTTTTAGTTATAATAATTATAATTAAATAAATATTATTTAAAGCAGAAGATTCAAGGGTAGATATCATAAATTTCCTGAAAATTCAACTCAATTCATGGTTTCCGTGTTTTTTGCAATTTAAGTTTGTAAGATGTAATATTTACGATGAATTAATTACATTAAAATGATTAAAAATACTGATTAAAAATACTTCCTCGCATGTGACAAATTGATACATTTCTATCTAGTTGAGATAAATTTATGCTGGTTATGATCTTTAATTATTATTAGGTAAAGAATTACTAATTGATATTTATTACATCACAGAGAAAAGTTTGCAAGGAATTAAAGAATAAAAAATTTTAAAAATATCTAATTATAAATAATAAAATTTTATAATTAAATGTTAAAAATTACTTGATAAATGAATGAAAAAATTGCAAATTTAATAATGTTAATATATTAATTGAAAATATTTTGTTGCTTAATAGCAATTTTATTTTAAAAATATCTCTATCTTTTTAATGAAAAGGCACGCTGATAGTTGCAAATGGTGATAATTAATGCATAATATGTACTGGAATCCAAAATTATATTATTATTAAAAACAAAATAAAGTGATAAGATTATTGTTCAAATATGTATCATTATAGCAGAACTCATAAGTCCATAGCTCGAGATAATATGTACAGTTATTTCAAACTGCTTTAAATTAATTGTTGTACAAACAACTCTCTTGGTGGAAAACTTTAGATTTGACTTTTGCGTGATTTACGTTTAAAGTTCTCTCCAAAATAAATCACACACATTTTGCGGCAACGCACGCTCGGCTGCTCCATAAATTCAATTTTCTCCGCGATGGAAATTTTCTCACCAAAAATTCGCGCATGAAATTAAGCCGCAGCCAGCGCAGCTCCTCTTTTTTTTCAGGAAACAAAGGGTAGCGCGAGGAGATGGTCTGCGGCTGGAAGAGCGGCAATAAACGAAATCCACAGGAGGCATACGCAAGTCACGAACGAGAATGGAAAAATTGAATTTCGAATAAATAAAATATCAGCAGCTCGTCTGACAATCAACGTTGTTTATTTTCACATTTGTGCATGTTTGTACATTCCGAATGCGGCGGCGGCGGCGGACGAGCGTGTAAAATTCACTTTCCTCCTGACAGCTATATTACCGAGCTCCTTTTTTTTTATTTTAAATATTTTATAAAGATGCTCTCTCGCGGCGTGCATTCCCATTGTGCTGCATGTGAGACGCCGTTATGCCTTTTCCACCTGGGCGCTCTGCCTTCAGTGTGTAATTTTCGCCTCTACGTTTTCGGCGTGTTTTGTCATGTGGCACCGCGCGGCCGCGGGTGCCACACTGTGACGTCACGCGCAGGTCATTCCCATTTTCGGTGCTCAACTATTGTTGGAAATCGTCGGTGCCGTCTGCCGTGTCGTAGGTTATTCGCGCGACTCGTGCAGATGTTCCGCCGCGATGCCTGCTAATTCGACGCGAAAATCTTGATCACCGCGAGAAAACGTGGTGGAGAGACTTTCGTCGAGTTACAATTTGCCCGTGAACCTGAAAATCGCCGAGTTGGCGAACAATTAAACAAAAGTAACGAGCACTTACTCTCACGAGAAAAATTCAACCGCTTAAAATTCACACTTTCTTCCGTGGCAACAATAAAAAATAATAAAGATATTTGAAAAAATTTTCAATATTTTGTCCACACTATATAATTACACAAATGATACACCGACTGCAATACTTCCAGATTTATCAAAATTTATTTTTAATGCTATACACATTTTTTGTAGAACACTTTCGCATAATATAGAAAGCCTTGCAAGTTTCATTATTACTTGATTTAAATTTATCCTTTGCCCTCGAATCTATTTTTTTAAATCGTTACTCTTCTTTAAGATTCTTCAGATTGTGGACCCTTCGCACACATAGTAGGTTGCATACGTACAAATCAAGTCATACCATGCGTTTTTGCTGTCATTTATGCAAATATTATGTTTTTTTAAATGCCAAAATTTAATATTTACAAGTAAATTAGACATCTTTCTAGTGGAAGTTGTGCGGGTTCCCCTGGACCCCACGTCCGATAAGTTACATTTGCTCCGTTGGCCCAATGGTCGTAATACGTCTCATTTATGCAATTCAAAGACATCCACACATACTGCGGTTCCAGGCCTAACAATTCATTGTGTTAGAATTTTTTTTTTAATATTTTTCATATGAGTTACCTGTATTATATATGAATGAGCGAATGCACTTGTCTTCCTCTGGTGTTTCCGCAGTTGCAAGATCCATTCCACTTTTTCCACACTCCAATCGTGCTGCAGCCCAAGATTTCTATAACCAGTCATCAGCAATAATAAATAAATAAATAGCTATTTATTTACTTTGTCTTGAGTAAGCGAATAACGCGAAGAAGCTTGAAGAAATTAATTAAATAAATGTGAAAAAACAATTAATTAAAAAAAATCACTTGCTGGACAGCCTATTGAGGCTGCTGGGCTGGATATATTTTTTGACGGTTCGCAAGCAAAAAAGTTGATGTCGGTGCACAATTGATTTTTCCACTTGCCACCCCTTTAATTATGAAATGCAGTGGTTTACATGATAGAAAGATCAAAATTAATATTGAAAATTACGACGACGAGACGCAGAACTGCTTTGCTAAGGAGGTCGGATATCCATTTTCCCACTGCACATATGACAGATTGTTTTTATTCACCCACTTAAATGAACTCTGCCCAATGGAACTAAGGCCAATCCAAAACGTGTCCTGAAATCGACCTACACTTTATAATTTTAACAGCGCGTTAAATAAAAACAAATGCAATTACTTTGATTTTTCAAGTAAGCAGAAAAACAATTTTCTTTTGACTGAGAATCAATAACGGCCAGGTCCATTCCAATTCTGTTACAATCCAATCGGGCACTTTCCCAAGTAGTCTGATCAAAAAATGATAAATCGATGCAATTAACTGAATTAGCATTAAAACGATTCTCTTACATAAACCATTGAAATATTAAATATATTAAAATCTAAAAATTTTCAAGTACATATCCGTAAAAAATAAGGAAAAATAAATTATTTTTTACTTGGACAAGGCGTTGTGGTCGTTATAGTGGTAGTTGTTGTACTCGTCGTTGTTGAAGTAGTGCTTGTGGTTGTAGTCGTTGAAGTTGTTGGGGTAGTAGAAGTTGTTGGGGTAGTAGAAGTTGTTGGGGTAGTTGAAGTTGTTGGGGTAGTTGAAGTTGTTGGGATAGTTGAAGTCGTGGTTGACGTTATTGGGGTAGTTGTGGTCGTGGTTGAAGTGATTGAGATAATTTCTGTCGCGATTGAAGATATTGGGGTAGTATCTGTCGTGGTTAAAGTTGTCAGGGTAGTCGTGGCAGATGAAGATGTGCTTGTGCTCTCATCCACTATCATATCTAGTTATAATATTTTAGACAAAACTTCAAATAATTTTTATTTAATTGATTTGGAAGAGATAATTATAACTTTTTCTATAATTCAATAATTATATTTTCTACCATTTGTTAGAGGTGTAGTCAATTCTGTCGAAATAATAAAAGTTGTTACATCTTCAAGTGTGGTCGACTCTTCAAAGTGTGTGGTTCCTTCTGAAGTAGCAGGTGTATTTCTTTGTACATTGAATTAATATTATGTGGATTTCATTGATTATAATATTACGTTGTTGGTTGATCTGTAGATTTTTCTTCAACCGTTTTTAGACTTTCAGTAGTTTTTAATAGTGTAGAAGTGCTGCAGTTTCGGTGGCCACAGCATTTTATAATCCTCAATCGAGTTAATTTTCTTGTATTTGAAAATTTTACAACAACTTTTGATTTTCGCCCAACTGAAGACAGCACTCTAGTTTGGATTCCTTCTGTTCGGAAATGAATATTTACAAAAATTGAAGAGAATCAATCCAATTTGAAATTTTACTACTATGGTTGAGTGTGTCAGAATTAGCTGATAAATCGGACAGTATAAAGAGTGTTATGAAAGTGACCTGCAACAAAAAATAAATGCAGTGGTTTAATTTGCAAAATTCGAAAACACAACACACCAAATTAGTGAGTGCTATTCGTGCCATACTGCCATCACACTAGTTTACAACTTTACTGTTTTGTGAAATTTAGCGATTTTTGATGCGCATCAGCTATCACAGATTCACATCCGGAAGCAACATATACCTCGCACAAATTAACAGGACGAGTCAGTTGTGGAAATCTCCATAAATTTTTCTCTATTGCACAAAAATTGGATGTCAAATATTTTGTTATGTAATCACAAAAATGTACAAATGAAGTGTCTGGGAAGAATCAGGGAAGAATAATTTATTTGATTTTATCAAATCGAACTTACTAAAAGTGTTCAAAAATAATAACATAAATATTATAATTTATCTAAATTAAAAGAAATAAGCTCATGAAACCTTTCCATTTTAACAATGTTGTAAAATATTTTGAACTTTGCGTAATCAAAGAAGTACAAATTGACATTTACTACAGCATTATTTCATAATATTGAATTAAGAAATTTATGTCTGTTCTCCAAATTCTCAGTGGCACAGCAGGTTAAAATTACGCACTGTAATCCTTAACTGCGCCGCGCAATTACCAATAGGCGGATCAACCGCAATGAGTGCGGCGCCGGAGCACAATTAGCGTGCCATATTTCTCTGGCGCTGCTGCCGGATTCGAGTGTTCTCGCTCTCTCTAATAATAATGGACGGGCAGCAGTTTAAGCAGTGCCATTACGGCTCGATATCTGGAAATTATGTTCCAATTAGAACACGGCCTGTGCATCAGTTGTCGGCTCAAAGGCTTTGCGGCAACAATGATTCGGATTCGCCGCCGCTGAGATGCGACCACTCGCTTTAATCATCTGATGGCTGCGGCGACTGCATGTGACACTCATTATGGTTGCCGGGCTGATTGCCGATGACGCTGTTTGTTTGATGTGCACCAAGTGAGAGAGCATCTGTACAGTCTGTGATTATTATTACACACACTAATTTAATCACGATAAATTTGCTTGTATTGCTTGTTCACCGTGCAGAAGCAGATATAGATGGATGGATTAAGCGTGGCTTTGAGCATTTTGACGTGAAATTATTATTTTTGTTAATTTGTCAACATTGATGATTTTGTTAAAACCGGTATAACTGTTTATTCATATTCTCGTTTTTGCTAGAGAAGGTTTTTTTTATTATCTCTGAATGTTTTCAGAATATGTAGAAAAATAAACTTCCATAACTCTTTTTGGTGTGATTAATTAATGCATAATTAAAAGCTGTACAAATGCTCTTAATATATTTTGAGTTGAGTACATATTAAAAAGAATAAAAAATAATAATAATAATAATAATCAAATATAAATGGAATAAAAAAAAACAAAGAACAGAGGATTGCGGAGACCAAGTCCTAAACAAATGATTGACATTATTAGATGCGCTCTTAAAGAAAAAGCGTCAAAGAACTTGATAAAGATTAAAATCACTATAATCAAGCATGCTTGGGGCACTAGTGTCAGTCAAAAATTGGTCACCAGTTATACCTTATCCCAATTCCTTTCCTTCAAAACTCCCTTTATTCTCATTGCTAAATTTTTGGGGCTCCCGCAGATCGAAGTTAAACAGTGAAATCTTTTAATTTTAAGTGAGCAAATTTTAATAGCTTCTGAGTTCCATTACGTCAGATGCTATCATCGCACGAAAGCGAATTTTATTAGCTCATAGTGCAAGCCACGCTCATTATGGAAGAAGCGCTTTTCAAATCAGCCAAAAAATAGGCTAATTGCTTATTCGATTTTAGAGCCGGCTTGCAAAATGACAAGGAAAGAATGAAGATGCGCTGCTCGCTCTCCCTTTTTCACAATCATCTCTCCGGGCACATACCAGTGAAAGGTCATCACCGTAGTTTGGCATGCAAAGGAATCAGACCCCTGTAGGGAGACGTCTGAATGACTTCAGTATATTAAAAATGCACGTGTGAGAAATTCTGCGCGTTTAGCCCCGGCAATTTGAATAATAATTGCACCTCCGCGTCACTCATTACTTGGCCGAGACGCTGGTAAATCGCGCAGTGCTTAAAATCGGCGAAAACAAATTCGCTCACATCACGACTGCGCGAGGAACGTTTGTTTGGAAGCGTCCGGCACGATTCAGACGGGCAGTGAAACACCAAAGAAAGCAAGATTTAAAACATTGTAAAGGTAAAAAGAGCATGAAATTAGAAAATTAATTTTATTCATTGTTAGAACATATTAAAGAGATAATAAATGACTACTTCTTATTTTACTTTTCAAAGTAATTTGGCATTGATATATTAAAACTTTTCGCGGTTTTTAAATTATAAAACAATAAAATGTTAATAAATTCTTAAAATCCAACTATAATTGTTTCAGAATATCGCATAAAACTAACATTTAATTAAAGAATTTCCTCTGAACAATAATATATTATTTTTTTTTTTTTTTAGTCCAAAAAGTATTTTAAATGCATAATCTATTATTACTCATAACTACAACCATCCAAATAGATGAGTTCCGAAATTTCTTCTGTTGCGATTTTATATTTTTATGGTAATGCTGTGACCATTTATAAAAGATTGAATAAAATGCTGAAAAAATTAATGATTATTATTAATTTTTTTATATTAATATTGTAGTAAAGGCTAATATTTTTCCTTTTATTTTGACTACGGTTGGATGTCAGAACACTGCCCTGGCCGTCCAGAGAGCGTTGAGAATCCACGGCGCTCGAAGAGTCTGCCAGGGTTCAGTAGCCGTGAATGATTTATGTGTTTGCGCATGCATCGAAAAATATGATTGCGTCCCTAGCTTTTGTTAAATTGCTGGATCGATGCTTTCAGACGCGTCCAGGCCAAGCAACTCTTTTTTCCCTTCCTCTTTCTCTGCTCACTTTGCAAACCGCGGTCGAGGTACACAAAAGAAAGAAGAAAAAACGCCGAGTGCAAGAACCCGCATCACTCCGCGGCTAGTTCGGCTCGCGCAGAGCAACGCCAGGAGAGCAAAACACCCACACTTGAGCAAATAATGAATGCACTAATGAAAATATATTCTCCGGTAGGTAGTTTGGTTCAATGCCTGCCCGCCGAGCACTTGTGCAAAACGGGATGCAGGTTCTGCGAACTGGACGCAGAGCAAAGAGGTAAAACGGAGAAGCTATAATATAAACATGGAAATTTTTAGGATTGCTAAGAATTTTTTTTGCATTAATTACTTAACGAAATTATTTATCAGAATTTTTTATATTTTAAGTAAACATAATCTCAAAATAATATGATGTGATTCAATTGATTTGGAATATTTTTGATAAAAAATTTCACGGAGTCAATTGCATTATAAATTTTTCTTTATTTTTCCCCCCCTTAACTTCACTATTGAACTGGATTTACTAAAATTTGAAGTTTCTAAAATAATAAAAATACAGTATTTTCAAAATCAACAAATCATTCAATCCAATCAACATTTTTGCTCATGATTCAATTCTGCAAATGAAAAGGCGGAGAGTTATGCAACCTGCTCAACACAAAGAGCTTCGCAACTGGGAATTCAATTTAATCCTGGCGATTTATGGTTGCTACACACAATTTAATACTATATTTCTGTGTGCTTTTTGTTAAATATCGCAGGTGCGAATGATTTGGATGCAGATGACAAGTTGTAAAACTTGCAACACGTGCGCGCGATAAATAATGAAACTCGACTCTGCACAGCACACACGCACTCTCTCCGCGAGCCTCCCTATTGAAAAGTCACTCGGCGTTTGAAGTGTCGCCGTTCGCGAGAGAGTACAAAGAGAAAAGCGAATGTACTCGCCAGACTGTGAGACAATATTGCGCGATGTGCTAGCAAGTGACGAGTGATTGTTACATTGTGGAGAAAATTGGAAATTGATGCGACAACAAAAGAAAAGGGGTTATTTATAGGAGCAGAGATATCGTGTAGCGCAAAGTGACACAAGTGCTCTGTACAAAAGCGCGTACGTGTCGCGATCCAGAAAAGAACAGGCCATGTTTCACTTTTTCTGTCATTCAAAAAGGGCGTGTTCTAAATTGAACAAAATTGCGCTGACGATATACATCAGTTTGATTTGAAATTACAATTTTTTCCCTTTGTTGTCTGTTCTTTGAACTCTATTTTACTTTTATAAATGAAAATAATTAACATGAAATATAAATGGCAGAATTAATGTTAGCAAAGGTTGAAAGTTCAAAAAAGAAAAAGTTCCAACCCGAATAAAGAAATTTAAAAATTAAAGGTTTAAAAAAAATCTCTAATTTTTTCATGTTCTTAACAAAATTTAGAAAAACACTTTTGTCTTATAAAATTTAAAATAATCACCTTGCATAAAATAAATTCTTTGGGTAAAAGAAAAAAATTGAAGAACAATAATTAATTTTTTGAACACCTGATCATATAATTTAATATTTAATTATTCGGGAGTAAAATTTATAAAGAACAATCAAGTCATTTAAATAATGGAATAAGAAATAATAAAATCTAATAGTAATTCTTTAAAATTCAATATTTCTCTTCCCTGTTGCATCTATTTTAAAAGAAATTTTTCACCTGTAGATCAATCCTTGCATTTTTGTTATGACAACCGTTTCTCGTTGAATAAAACATTACATTAAAATGAAAAACATACCAGACCAGAGATTTCCAGAAGAAATTCCTCCCTTTTGATGCTCGGAGAAGAGCGTAATTAGCATTACGAAATGCGCTAACTGCATTCCGTGTTCCGAGATCGACAGAGAAGAAATTGAATTCCAGCTCTGCAGCCAATGTTGAATTATTGCCGCTTACCAACTCTGCATCTAATTAATTGATAAAGTGCACCGGGTTTAAAGAGACGCGCAGCACTTATTTCCATTCATGTTGAGGCGCAGCTGCGCTCCGCCGTCGTTTAAATTAAATGCTTTTAGCGAGAGAGCAAGCAATATTTCCAGAGATCAGAGAGAGAGAAAGAGTTACA